CTTAAAGCACTAAAAAAATATTCCAATGATAACTTTGAGGGAACATGGTATATTTTTATTCAGCACATCAGAATCACCATGATGAGGTATTATCTCGAGTGATCTGTTGAGACAATGTGCATAATATTACCTATTAGCTTCAACTGACATCTCCACATGATTTGTTTGAATACCTCTATGTTCATAATACATACACATGAGATGAATGAGGAAGGGGGAATAGGGGGTTCTTTTCAGTTAAATAATTTATCTGAAATTTGCTACTGAAAATGCATAAATGATGAAAACGATGAAAGCTGGAGACAGAGACTGGCTGAGAGATTTCAGTTGAAGATCCCTCTTGGAGATCCCTCATCTTAAAACCTAAGTCTGGCAGGCTGTTCCACCAGTGGGCAAGAAGGCTACATCACTTCTGGAACATAGGAAGCTGCCTAATGCAATAGGTGTGCAACTTATAGGAGGGTTACATTCCAGTGATCATGCCTGAAATCAAAATTGTGTATTGTCAAAGCACATTGGGTTTGATAGTGGGTGGGATTGCTAACGATTTTCCCAGGAACCCTGCTCCCTTTCCACCCTTAATTTTTTTTTAAAAAAAATCACCACACATGTAAAGTTGAAGGCACACAAATTAAATGTGTGTAAGTTGTGGGCTTCCTGTATTGAGTAACATTGTTGGTTTTACTAGCTCAGCATTGTCTACATTAAGTGACAAAGACTCTCCATGGTTTCAGACAGGTGTTTCTCCCAGCCCTAACCTAGAAATGCTGGAAGCTGAAGCCGGGACCTTCTCCATGAAAAACTTTTCTCTTGCATTTGCAGCGTGTGCTGGTAAGAGCTCCTCGACCCACCTGCATTTGGGGTCATTTAGGGAACAGGGTCTCCCTCCGTTAAACTGAGGGGTGTGGAGCATGGCTAGATGACCCCAGCCTCTCCACAGAGCGAGAACCCTGACTTTCACGTGCAGCCTGCGAGAGATCGCTGTGTTGTGGTTTCATCTCCCACGCCCACGCCCCCACCCCCACCCCCCCAAAAAATTAGAGGAAAGTCTCAGGCCTCCCTCAACGGCGACGGCTCCCTTCGTCCTATGCTAGGCAACATGAGTGACTCGAAGGGGAGGGAGGGAAAAGTCTTGGAGGCTTTTGCCCCCTCGCTGAACCGGATTAAAAATTATTTGTGTAACTGTTCAAATCAAGCTAATGAAAAATAATCTTGACAGAAATCGAGTTCTTGGAGGATTTCCCCTGCAGACTCTTGGAGAGCTCTTAAAACGAGAAGGGAGGCACGGAAATGAGCTGGAACAAGCCGTCGGCTTAATGGAACCAGAGGAAAGGGCCAAGGCGCGAGAGGGGTCGCACGGGGAAGGAAGGAAGGAAGGTGGGGAAAGGAGTCATCAGTTTGGGGGCAAGAAGGGAAGGAAGGAAGGAAGGTAGGTACGTATTGAATAGGAAGGAAATAAGATTGTGAATAGGAAGGAGGAGCGGAAGGTGAATAGGATGGAAGAAGGAAGTCATTTCTGCTTACTAAAAAAAAGTGGAAGGAAAGAATAAGTTGCAACCCTAACCCTTTGCTGTGGAGTAGAATCATAGAATCATAGAGTTGTAGAGTTGGAAGGGGACCCCAGGGGTCATCTAGTCCAACCCCCTGCAGTTCAGGAATCTCAGCTAAATCATCCATGGCAGATGCTTTAGCTTCTTTCAAGGCACCTTTGCAGGTAGCACCTCAAAGTCCAAGTGGTCCACTGAGGACTTACTCCCAGACACGCTGCCAGGGCAATAGTCTTCCTCTTCCCTTGGGGTCACCCATAAAAACTGCTGCGCTATCCTCAACGTGTTCACTCAGAATCCTAAGTGTGCGTATTTAAGTCCCTCCAAGTTTCACAGGACTTAATCTCTAGTAAGAGAGTTTAAGACTAGCGCTCTAAACATGCTTGCTTTGGGCTAGAACCTGCCCTTACTTGGTTTGCCCCGGAGCATGTTGGAGAACTCTTTAACCTGAGTAGGCTGAAAGCAAGAGTAAGATTACCATAACTTCCGTCATAGAGCTTCAGTATGCTGATGACAACGTAGTGTGTGCACGCTCAGAGGATGACCTCCAAACCATCCTAATTGCTTACTAAAAGCTTACCAAAAGCCTGGCGATCACTCAGCATCCAAAAAACCAAAGCGCTGCACCAAGCACAAAACAACTCCTCGGCAGCACGACTAATCTAACTCAATGGCGTAACGCTGGACAGTCTCGATTACAGTGGTACCTCAGGTTACATACGCTTCAGGTTACATATGCTTCAGGTTACACACTTCACTAACCCAGAAATAGTGCTTCAGGTTAAGAACTTTGCTTCAGGATAAGAACAGAAATCGGGCTCCAGTGGCGGGGCAGCAGCAGGAGGCCCCATTAGCTAAAGTGGTGCTTCAGGTTAAGAACAGTTTCAGGTCAAGAACGGACCTCCGGAACGAATTAAGTACTTAACCCGAGGTACCACTGTACTTCTCCTACTTGGGCAGTTACTTTTCCACAAGGGCATCACTGATGCCAAAATCCAGCATCGCCTGTGCTCTGGGAGTGCAGCTTTCTCACGAATGAAGTGCAGGGTGTTTGAGGACCAGGATATTCGCATGGCAACCAAAATGCTTTTTTACAAAGCTATTGTACTACCAACCTTAGGAAACATGGACCACTTACAAACGCCATTTCCAACTCCTCGAATGATTCCATCAACGGTGTCTCTGAAAAATTCTACATATCACTTTGGAAGACAGGTGCACTGGAACTAATGCCACTGTGCTGGAAGAAGCAAAGATCACTAGTGAAGCAATGATTCTTCAACATCAGCTTTGTTGGAGTGGTGGTGTTGTGCGGGTGCCTGATTCTCGTCTTCCAAGCAACTACTCCATTCCGAATTTAAAAATGGAAAGCATAATGCTGGTGGTCAACAAAAGAGGTTTAAAGACTCTCAAGGCAAATCTTTAAAAATGTAGGGTAAACACCAGCAATTGGGAAACACTGGCCTGCTAGCGCTCCAGTTGGAGAACAGCCTTTACCAAAGGTGTCATGGATTTTGAAGCCGCTCAGCTCAGGACAAAAGGGAGAAACGTGCTAAGAGGAAGACACGTTTGGCAAATCCTCACCATGATCAATTCCCACTGCAAAACCTATGTCCCCACTGTGAAAGGACATGTAGATCCAGAATTGGCCTTCACAGTCACTTACGGACTCACTGTTAAAACCGTGATCATTGAAGACAATCTTATTTGGCTACGAGTGATGGCCGAAGAAGAAGAGGAAGAGGAGGAGGAGGAGGAGGAGGAGAACCTATCTCTATAGCCAGGACGCCTTGTGAAACTCTGGCAAAAGACTCCATCAGCTTCCGGGAACACCTTACAGCACCACCTCCTCCTCTTTTACATCACAGACTTTGTTTTGAATTCTGTCGAATTCGCGTCACCTGTGAATCTTGCTCAGTTTAAGCAAATAAATCTCCCGGGTTTTGCAGCAGCTAGGTGAAACTCAACAGGTAACACAGCACAGTGTGCTTCCCTCCCCCCCCCCTTTCACACACACACAATGGAGAACGGTGACAACTCTTTAGGGAGGTAGTAAAACCGGAGCCAAAAAAATCCCCTTTCTGTGGAGTCGGAGCAGGCCTGGGAAGTTTTGTCCAGAGCGGCCGTTTGAGGGGGAACGATGTTATTAAGTAGGTGCTAATGGAAAGGGTCGTTGTTACAACCCAGTTAGGGTGTTTGAATGGGATCTTGAAGATCGGGGTTCGAATTCCCTGTCAACCACGGAGCTCGCTGTGAGGCTTTGCGCTTTAAGCCCAGCCTCCTGTGGGGATGGGGAACCCTGAACAGTTGAGCTCCTTGGAGAAAAGGTGGGGAATATAAATGTTAATGCTTATAATGATGATGAAGATGATAGCCGGGATTGTAATCCTCACTCTTCAGTCCTCTTAATAGCTGACAACGCTGCAATTCTCAGCACACAGCCCAGCCTCACTCAGCTACTGTTTTTAGACAGCTACATGGGAAGAGAGTTTCTGGATTTCAAAGAACTTTCCTCTATGTTCTCCTTCTCCGCTGGGCACTAAAAGACCCCCGGGATACTCGACATACTACATTCAAATGAAATGAACAAAATGGGGCTCCCCCCAAAAAAACCCCAACACTCAAAAATTGTTTAGGAATGCTGTTAAGAATGCTGGTAAGCCCCATTTAATTCAACAGGGCTTACTTCTGAGTAGACAAGTAGACATGGTGATAATCTTTAACTTTCGCCTTCTACCAGAATGCATCCTCTGTAGACTTCCTTCTACCGTCGGAGCGCGATCCAGCCAGCGTTGAGCTTTATTAAAATCCAATTTACCTCCCCTACTCATTTCAAAAACACACCCGCGCCCCCTAAACTGCTGGCAACAGAGCAATCCTACACATGTCTACTCAGAAGTAATTTTCCAGTGTTCAGTAGTGGTAAACGGGTACAAGACTGCAGTCCTTCCTATAAAAACGAATGGAATTTAATACTAACCCCCGTTCCTTTCTACTCAAAACTAAAACCTACTGAAGTTAATGGGATTGTAGCCTAAAACGCGCTTAACTTTGTCTGGATCATTTGAAACTGGAGGGGATTATTATCATCACCATCATCAAACCCCCTCGGATTGTCCATCATTCAGTTATTTCGATTTGCTGCTATTCAGTCAATAAAGCATCGACTTTAGGTTTTGGGGATTCTAAGATACTTGTACCATTAGTCCATAGTAACATGGACAAGCGAGGACCATTTGCCCTACTACACCAATACAGAAAAAGATCTTGACTGGGTTATGTTAAGCTTTGCACGGAAGGTTGCGGGTTCAGTCCCCGGCATGGCCCGGGAGAGATGACGAAAGCCCTGTCTGAACTCCTGGAAAACCACTGCCGATCCGTATAGACAATTATTGAGTTAGATGGACCTGAGCTTTGAGGCGGCCTGCTACGCTGCAATGTCTTAAGGGGAGGGCCATTGCTCAGGGGTAGAATACCTGCTTTGCATGCAGAAGGTCCAGGGTTCAAATCCCAGGTAGGACTAAGAGAAGATTCCTCGTCTGAAATCAGATAGTGTAGATTATATTCGCATTAACTGTTGGGATCCCCTCCAAACTGGTGCCAACATTTTGTACTTGCGCAGTTCGTAGTTAATAAGGTAAAGGTAAAGGGACCCCTGACCATTAGGTCCAGTCGTGACCGGCTCTGGGGTTGCAGCGCTCATCTCGCTTTACTGGCCAAGGGAGCCGGCGTACAGCTTCCGGGTCATGTGGCCAGCAGGACTAAGCCGCTTCTGGCGAACCAGATCAGCGCACGGAAACGCCGTTTACCTTCCCACCAGAGCGGTACCTATTTATCTACTTGCACTTTGACGTGCTTTCGAACTGCTAGGTGGGCAGGAGCAGGGACCGAGCCACGGGAGCTCACCCCGTCGCGGGGATTTGAACTGCCGACCTTCTGATCAGCAAGTCCTAGGCTCCTAGACCCGTGGTCTGACTGGCAGCTTCGTTCACTTAGGGTCCTCCTTTGCCACCTCTTAGTCCTGAAACGCCTCGGCCAGAACATTTTCCTGGGAATTGTTGAGTAATGAGAAGGTGCGTTGTGGTAAGGTAAGGTATAGTGGCTGGAGTCTTGTACTAGTCTAGTCCTGTTTTGGACACCTTTCAGCCACGGAGCTCAATGAGTGACCTCAGCCCAGTTGCTTTCTTTCAGCCCAACCTACCTCGCAGGGTTGTTGTGAGACTAATGCGCATCGCGGGAGGAACTCGCCTTGAGTTTCTTGGAGGAAACGCGAGATATAAATGGTAATATATGGGGGGGAGGTATTCCAGGCTAACAGGAAAGTGTTTTCCCACCCTACAACCACAAGAGATCTCTCTTCACAGCGTATGCGAATATCCCCACCTCCAGTCACCATCCAAGACTTTTAAAGGACAAAAAGTCTGGAGGATGCGCGTGCTTCCATTGTAAAAGAAGGCTTTATCTGTATCCGGCCTCCACCTCTTAACTCCCTTTTCCCGCTTAAGCAGCAAGCATCTCGCAGAATAAATGTAAATACGATCCAATGCGGGGCATGTGCCTTGTTCATTTATGACTCTTCGATCCCTAGCTATTAGGCTGAGACAGGCTTTTGTCCCGGTGGCTGTGACTAGTCCTCATCGCTGGGGAAAGCGTTGCCAGATCACGCACTGAGAAAGGCACGGCCCTTCCAAATTAAGCAGTGCGGCGCTTTGCATGGGAAGTTAACTCTTTAGCCAGGCCACCAATATTGGCATATGGCATAAGATCGCTGTGGTTATGGGATTGGGATCAAGAGTTTTCTATTAGGGTGGGTGGCATGGTATTGTTGATATTGTTTTACTGGGTAGGTTGATTATTCTCTACACAGTTTTGAAATTGGGAGGGAGGGAAGAAGGAAGGAATTACCGTGGTACCTCGGCTTAAGAACTTAATTCGTTCTGGAGGTCCGTTCTTAACCTGAAGCTGTTAAGAACGTTCTTAACCTGAGGTACCACTTTAGCTAATGGGGCCTCCTACTACGGCTGCGCTGCCGCTGCACGATTTCTGTTCTCATCCTGAAGCAAAGTTCTTAGCCTGAGGTACTATTTCTGGGTTAGCGGAGTCTGTAACCTGAAGTGTCTGTAACCTGAAGCGTATGTAACCCGAGGTACCACTGTATAGAGTTGGAAGGGACCCCGAGAGTCATCTAGTCCAAACATCTGCAATGCAGGAATCCTGGGCGGGCTCGAACCACCAACTTTCTGGCCAGACACACAGAGCCATTGCGCCACTGGAGGGCTTGTGGAAGAAAGGAAGGAAAGAAATGGGAAAGGAAGGGTTGTTAAGTCAGAACCTCTGAAAGAGGTAAGTGATGCGCTGAGGTTGCTCTGGATGTCTGCAGGAGGAAGTCTAAAACCCTTTTCAAATCCCCTTTCAAGCCCAAATGAGTTTACATCGATTTGGTTTGCTTTCCAGCGTCTCCTCCAAATCACATTTGTTGATTTCCATCCGCCCCCGGTTTCAGCTCGACCTCCTCCTTTCCACACACACACAGACTGCCCACGACTGCACAGCCAGCTCGTCTGCGTATCGTCACTCATCGACGGCGCTGCTTTCCAATGTGGGCGCCTTTGTCTCGCGGACGCACACCCCCTCCCCGCAGCCGCGCCGCGCCGCCCCCGCGCCTAATTGTATTCCCCAAAGAATTTGCTTTGATGGATTTACTTCCTTTTATAATTTCCAAGTTATGTATCCTGGCTTTGCCTTTCCAACACGTAATGTGGACAAAATACCCTCTTTCCGGGGGAGGGAGAGGGGGAGACATAAGACATTTGCTCCGCTGGGAAGTGAGGGGGGGGGAGTATGCTTTGCGTGGTCTTAGGCTGCTCGCCTCCTCTCCCATTTCACTGGACGAGAGTGATTCTTGGTTGCCCAGATCTCGCTCGGAGCGCAGTCTAAATTCCTTAGAGGAAGCCCCGCACCCCGCTAGGGATCTGGCAGGTATTATAATAAGATGGAGGGACGACTCTCCCCTGGAGTCATAAGAAGAGCCCTGATGGATCAGGGCGAAGGTCCACCTAGCCCAGAGTTCTGTCCACGGAGTATCTCATTGCAGGTAGTCCTGGGCTGTCCACAAGCTGGGCAATCCTATGGTCAGGAGGAGGAGGTTGAGGAAGAGCCCTCAAGCTGGGCATCCGAGCAAATCTATGGTTGGGAGCAGGGCCGGATTTAGGTTTGATGAGGCCCCTAAGCTACTGAAGATAACGGGGACCTTTATATGTCCAGCTGTCCTTTGTCAACAACCAATTGTCGCTGTTTTTTTGTGTTGAATATATGCTATATGGTAATTTATGGACTTAATAGGTATCTAAAGCCATTGGCACATAACAAAATATGTAATTTATCAAGGTAATTGTTGAACTGAAATACAGTTAAGAAGAAGTATATTAGTAGTGAAATCATTATTAAGCTCTAACTTAAAATGGTTTTTTATTCATAACAAACCTAATAATGCAAATACATTGGCATTTGGCAATGACAAAAGTTCCTTTAGAAACATAATTTACAAAGACTCATAATCTAGTCTCTAGAAACTTGCTATAACATGAAATAATAATAATAGGTGATATATGATGCAAACTACTAATAATTATAAATAGCTTTATTAATATGAAATTAAGTGTTATAACCTGTACAATGCAATTGTAATTAATACAAGCAGGCAGGGCCCATTACTTACATCTTAGGAGCCTAAACAACACAACACAAAACACTGTTGCTGTATGTAGGTTTTATTTTATTTGTTTTTTATCTTATATTTTGGAAATGTACATCCAGTTTTTTCCCCTTTAAACTTTTTTGGGGGCCCCCAAGAAAATGGGGCCCTAAGCTTTAGCTTGTTTAGCTTATATGTAAATCCGGCACTGGTTGGGAGGAGGGGGAGGAGGAGAAGAAGGAGAAGACAATGGAGAACTAGGTGGATCAATGGTCGGCTCAAACATCTCTCTACTTGCTTACCAGTTTTTAAAAACTGGGAAGAAGTGGCCAGCTTCAGCCTCCTGGCTTTCCGATGATCTAGTGCTGAAGTCTACTTTGGCTAGCAGTGGGGGCTCATCCACATTTCTCCTCCATACCTAATGGTCCCATTTTCAGTTTTGTCCAAGTCTGTGTATTCCCGCTTTTGGTTTTTTGCCTCAGATTTTACTCAGGAAAAGACCTCTGAACCCCTGTGCTTTCCTGTTCATTCATCCTATAATCAATATTCTGCGATTCCCTTCCCCCACCCCTATTGTGGGCAGTTTTGCAGTAAAGGCAAACTTCTGGTCCTGCGCATAAAGTGATGTATTGTAAAGCAGCCAGAATCCCCAGCCTGTGCAGGAAGTTCCTTTTCCATGTTAAAATCCATTTTGTGTTACAATATAACTTCCAGTTCTATGCTTATTGATATTATTATTAACTTATTACTTATACACTGCCCATCTGACTGGGTTGCCCCAGCCATTCCCCCCAAAAAACAGTAAAAGCACTATACAACATCACACACTAAAAACTTCCCTGGACAGGGATGCCTTCAGGTGTCTTTTAAAAATCACTTACTGTAACTACCTATGTGTTTGACATCTGACGGGAGGGCGTTATACAGGGCAGGGGCGACTACCAAGAAGGCCGCCTACCTGGTTCCCTATAGCTTCATGTCTCACAGTGAGGGAACCACCAGAAGGCCCTCGGAGCTGCATCTCAGTGTCCTGGCTTAGCGATGGGGATGGAGACACTCCTTCAGGTCATTTAGTGGTTTAAAGGTCAACACCAACACTTTGAAGTGTACTCAAATGTACTGGGAGCCAATGCACTTCTTTTAGGACCAGTGTTATATGGTATCGGCAGCCACTCCCAGGCAGCGGTGGAGCATATGCCCGCGCTGCCCAGGGTGGGCGCACTCCTGAGGGGGCGGGGTGTGGAGGGTGCCCTCCCAGGCTCAGGATAGCCGCTCGGGTGCATGAGGCAGAGCAAGCCACCAATGGCGGACATTCGGCGCACAGCCTGTACACGACTGCCAAATGTCACCCCCATCAGTGAAGACACCAGGGGCGATCCACCCTCACCGCACCCCCCCTTCCTCTGTCCCTGCTCCCAGGCACCAGTCTAGCTGCCACATTCTGGCTTAGTTGAAGTTTTCGAGTCACCTTCAAAGGTAGCCCCACGTAGAGCACATTACAGCAGAATATTATTGTTTGGGAATCCTATCCTGGTGCACTTGTGTTGCAGCAGTCTGTTCATTTGCTGTAATCTTTAGTAATGGAGTTGTCAAGATTTGCTCTCATAGGAAGAGTCCTACTGGATCAGGCCAAAGGTTCATCTAGGTCAGCCTTTCTCAACCTGTGGGTCCCCAGATGTTGCTGAACTACAACTCCCATCACCCTAGCTAGCAAGGCCAGAGCTTAGGGATGATGGGAGTTGCAGTCCAACATCTGGGGACCCACAGGTTGAGAACCACTGATCTAGCTGAACACTCTTTTCTCATGGTCCTAAGACAGATGCCCAGGG